CCCCATCAGTTCAGGGCAGCGTTTCTGCAGAATGACAATAATCCGACACACACATCAAGTCCACATCTGAAAGGCTCCAATACATAAAAGCAAGTTGATATGTAAGTAAAAAAAGGTTTTCGAGTGGTGCAGTCAAAGTCCAGACTGGAATCCAGCTGAGATGCTCCTGCTGGAAAACCCTCCAATGCAACTGAATTCATCCAAACAGTGTAAAACACTGTCAGTTAGTGCAAACGCTGGGTTATAGTTCCAGCTGCCATCAGTGGCACAAACACTGATGATTAGAACGCTTGTTGTGATCTGATGTCACAATGTCTACATGCATGCCTTCAGCATCGAACAAAAACAGAAACATCTGTTAGACACATAAAGCAAATATATTTCTGCATGTGCACCACACACCGAGCAGAAACATGTCCCTGTGAACTGCTGTGTGTTTCCAGATCAGCTGCACCCCACGGTGCCTGTTTCTGTCCTCCGGCATGTGTCAGGTTTCTGCTTCTGCACAGTGTGTGAGCAGCTAGAGCACGTTTATTTCTGATATCAGCCTCACAGCTTATTTATTGACTGAAGCAGCTTTTTGGAGTATTATTTTCCTGTGCTCGGTTTGTTTTGAAAGTTCAGTCGTATGCACATTAAGACACGACTGTTTAAAGCAATCTTTGGTTGTGCATGCAGGTTTGTATCTGTATAAATGTGTACATATAGGACGACAGCTGGTGATTAGGTGTGTGTCTAGCTTATGTTTAGCTAATTACTCTTTTACTTCTTATAAATTTGAATAAAACTACTGTCTTAATTTAAAGATTTTAGATTTAACTGAATTTGATATTGCAGATAAATGAATAAGCCTAAGAGCAACTATCACAACCACATTAGGCACAAATAAGACACGCTTTGTTTCAGCATTACGTTCAGCACAATTTAACACAAACTGCATTCTACAAATGTCTTGATGCTCAAGGAAATCTCCAAAAGTTCATCAGGACGTAGCGTTTTGTGGGAGAAATGTTTCATCATCATCCCGGTGACGTCTTCAGTCTCAGCTGACTGCAGGTTTTAACCTTATAAACAGGACATTTGCATAATGACTGAAACCACTGAAGGAACAATGGGCTGGGAGGGCAGTTCCTAAATCTTAATTATGCAAATTCTCATGACCACTGATCAAAGCTCACTGATCAATGTCCATGAGTCCCATTCACAGAGAGTTGGGGAATGGCTGCAGTCACAGCATTGGGGAAGATGGTGACAGATGTACCCTTATTTACCTGATGTACCTGAGTAAATGTGGTTATCCCAGCTGGACTTTTGTTAAAGCTGGAAAGGCTCCTAAAGAAAGCTGCAGCCGATCCAGGAGAGAAGGACAAGAGAAAACCTGCAGTGATCCCGTAAGTGTCAGGAGTATCGGAGCAGCTGAGATGCATTTGTAATAAACACTACATCTCTGTAGCTTTTAAGCCCCAAAACACGCTGCGCCAAAAACTGGTCCCCCCCAAGGATCGGGTCCCCGACACAAACAGAGTAACATAGTGTACGCTGGTAAGTGCAGGAGGATTGGCAGGATTTAT